GGGGGGGGGGGGGGGGGGGGGGACAAAAGGATGTCCTCTAAGTGTTCTCAATATGCCATTACTTAACTGGTGCCTCCTGACAAGCCAAGCATTCACACCTGCAGAGATGATTCTGGGCCAATACACTCTGCCACACACGATACGTATAAAACACACACACTGCTATTTTACACAATACATACAGAGCAAGAGGATGGAAGCAACTGAGCTAACAATTAATACTTCCACAGGAAATAGGAATAAGCGACAGTGTCACACACACACACTCTTACACTTACAGTATGAAAAAAAGCAGTATAGATAGGGAGGAAGAGGCGGAGATGAATGGGAAGCATTTAGCCTATAACCTGCACATTTAGGTGATTTATGAACAGCTACCTTCTCACTAGGAACCTCTTTCCCCTGAGGTACTAGAGCAGTTAGGCTGCTTTGCAGTCACTCTGCATTTTATTAGCTTTTCTTATGTCATGTGAAGAAGAGCGTATGTGTGCAAAGTGAGTCACATCATTTTACTCTTTAAACTTATCTAGGTGAGGATTAACGTTGTCACATGAGCTGCCTTCATTCTTATTGGCAGAAAGAATATGTAGAATTTACTCTGGCAAACGAACATGCTGACTAATCACCTGACCTGCTCTGTTGTCAGTTAAATAGAAAACTTGAAGCCCCCAAGGACTTAAAACATGACAACAAAAAAGTTGCAATTGTGAAACATACCACAGATCCACCTGTAGTTTCTTCCAAGTATGAGACAGATATGTTCTTGTAAAAGCATTCACACAAGCAGCCACTTCTATCATTCTGGAGACTTCAGTTTAAATATACACTCTCACTGTGCTAGGAAAATAATCCATCCAACGACTATCTATTCCAGCATATCCTTTAATGATCGCTGGGCGGCTGGAGCCAAGGAAAATAATGCATCTGCAAATCACAGGGTTGGCTACAAAAGGCATTGTCACAAAGCCGAAAACAGAAATTTAAAATAATTTTAATTTAAAGGTGCCACTTAAGATGACAACATCGTAAAAACCATAGAGCATATAGAAGATGGACGACACTTCCTCTCACTATCCAGAAATGTATTTTGATTTTTTAACTTTGGTCCGTCTCCTGTTTGTTAACATAGAGAAGGTGGTTTATGATCTATACTACAGTCAGCCACCTGGAGACGATCAAAAGGATTTAGCTTCTCTTTTGGAGAGCAGTCATGTTGTCCATCTTTATATAAGGTATATGGTAAAGAGTGATAGATTCTGCAACACTGAGATTTCCCTTCATGCTTAATATTGCTGTCACATGTCTTCTTGTTAGCATTTGACTGCCTTTAACCCCCATGAAACACAGAGGCTGGAGCTGTAAAGAGGAAGCTGTGGGTGTTTTAATACATTGTGAGGAGAAAACACTGAAAAATTACCAGCTGCCAGCTCCAGAAAAAGGAGCAGAAACGGCTTCGCTTCCCTGCAAAACATCTGTTCAGCTGCACTAAACATAAACCAGAATGTGAAAGCCACAGTGTTGAGGTTCAGAAGCAGGTGATGCAGGAAGTATGGCTGTCAATCCACTCAGCTGACGTGTCCATAAACAGATACAATAACAACTCAGGGAAGATTCAGACAGGAGGAATAGAACTGTGCAAGGGGAGAAAGGTAGTTCTTGGAAATTCAGGGTACCCCTGATGTGTTTGCATTCAGGCTTCAACACACACACACACACACACACACACACACACACACACACACACACACACACACACACACTCTCACTCCCTTGGATGAACTTAGCATGCCTGCTACACGTGACTCAACCTCAGCTGTCCACTCTCTCAACAAGTCATTCTGACAGAGGTTAGGGAGTTGAATTTCGCTCTGTGTGAAAATATGTGCGTGTGGTCAAGGATATGATCCCATCCCTCTGGGCAGTGTCCACTCTCAGACCTTAAAAACTCACTGCAGAACTTCGTATCGCATGTGTGACTAAATCAGCCTGGAAGTGAGCGCCGGCAGGCTGGCTGCTTGTCCTCACAGAGCCAGTCACATGTTGAGTAATCAACATTTCAGTTGTTGTCATACTTGAGGAGGGCGACATTCCCATTTTCTAGGAAAGGTTTTCCCAGGAAACGCCTGAGAGAGAGGAGCCTTTACGAGTCTGGAACTAAACAGATTTGATAAAATAATTGCTACATTAAGTGTAGCTCATCCACTATGAAATGTAGACATTTGGATTTGGGGGGAGTTGGAAGCAATTTTTCTTGGCATCCATCATCTCACATTGTCTGTTATTTCTGTTACAGCTGTTACTGACTTATAAAGTCGAGCAAAACACAGCTATTTGGTCTAATCAATGTGCAAAAGTGAAAAATACTTATCATACATCACTGTTTCTACAAGCTTGAGCTGAATTATTTAAATAAATGATTTGATCAACAAACTAAAGTCTGACCAACAAACTAAAATCCAAATGATTGAGTAACATTAAACTAAGGACACTCAAATTATCACATTTGATTAACTATTTTGTCAAATATCTTTCTGTCAATCAGCTTACTTTGGTTTGTGTACATGTGAGTATGTATGTGTGTGTGTAAGTGTGTATACAACAGTGAGTGTGTGTCTGATAAATAGGTTTAAAAAGCCGTAAGTGAGCACAGTCGGTTTTAACACCACACTCAAACTGTTATTTTAGTAAATTATTACTTTTTTCTGAATAATTGGTAATCTGTATTCATCTTTAGGCAGCAATGTAGAGGAAGGTCATACTAACTATAACAATGTCAATTTACAAATTTACATGAAATGGTTCGACAAACCCTTGAAATATTGCGGTGTAAACTGACGCACCAGATGGTTTGTTACCCAGAACCAT